ACGGCTGCCGGCGGTTCGTGTCTCTGCCATTCCGGGTGTGAACGTGGCCGGGTCGGCGGTGACTGGGGATGGCTCCCAAGCCCGGGAAGCGGGCTGCTGCGGTTCACCAGCCCCCTCCCCGTCACGGGAAGTAAATTCCTGTCAGCGCCAGGCCCCCTCCCGCCAGGCAGGGCTGGAGAGTTGTCAGCCCCGCATTGAGCCGCCCTGCTTTGGCCCCCGTGCTTCTAAAAGCAGATACAAAGAAGTAAAAGGGTTTGTTGCATAACCGGAACGGTAACGGAGTCTGAAAGGCTGACCGGCAAAAACCATCCTGAGTCTCCTCCCCGTTTGGTTTATGCAGGTGAAGGCTCTGGGGAAAGCTCTGTAACAGAGGAGCCCCAGAGGACTCCCCTGGCCGTCAGCCATGGCTGTACCTATTGCAGTTCTTGACTGCGACCTCTTGCTGTATGGCCGCGGACACAGGACTTTGGATCGCTTCAAGCTGGAGGATGTCACGGATGAGTATTTAGTATCCACGTACGGCTTTCCCCGACAGTTCATTTACTACCTGGTGGATCTCCTGGGAGATAGTCTCTCTCGCCCTACGCAGCGGTCCAGGGCCATCAGTCCGGAGACGCAGATACTTGCTGCACTGGGTTTCTATACCTCTGGCTCCTTCCAGACTCGCATGGGGGATGCTATTGGCATTAGTCAAGCCTCTATGAGCCGCTGCGTTGCCAATGTAACTGAGGCATTGGTGGAAAGAGCCTCACAGTTCATTCACTTTCCTGAGGATGAAGCTACCGTTCAGAGCCTGAAGGATGACTTTTACGGGCTGGCAGGCATGCCGGGAGTGCTGGGGGTGGTTGACTGCACCCACGTGGCAATCAAAGCACCAAATGCTGAGGACCTGTCCTATGTGAACCGAAAGGGTCTCCATTCTCTGAACTGCTTGATGGTGTGTGATGCCAGAGGAGTCCTCCTGAGTGCAGAAACACACTGGCCAGGCAGCCTGCCCGACTGCACAGTGTTACAACAGGCAGCCCTTACAAGCCAATTTGAAACTGAGCTACATAAAGATGGCTGGCTACTTGGTAAGTCAAATTTTCATCGTTATTTTCTGTGGAAAGTCTGTTATATATCGGCTCCTTATTGAGTCTAGAGCCTCTGGGAACAAGTCATATGTTTACTTTTGATTGCTTTCCTGCAAATTCCTTGAGATCTGCGATGCAGTTTGGACGATCCTTCTCTTAGAAGTCTAGAACAGTAACTTCCAATCTGTGTTTTATACGGTCTGATTGTTGTATGTATGAGTTTACATTCATTCTGTTAAGACCTTGTTTTCAGTATCCTACACCTTTCTAAGCTGAATTATGCAATTTAAAATTCTGTGTAGGATCCTAGTCCAGCTGTCTTTCACTGTATTATGTAGTGAATGAATTCTCTTAAAACTCTTCTGTGTTCTTCCAGGATTTCCCTGTGTAAAACAGAATGTCTTTATCTTGTTGTTTGTCACATTTGTAAACCTGAGTTACATGTTTTCTCATGCCTTCTGTTTTAGCCACAGGAATAAGTTATTCTGTATCCGCAGTACCAGAAAACCGAGGGTGAAGAGCTGCAATCTGTGATTAACTGTAGATATATAACCTGTCCTCCTCTTTTTCACTGCTAACAGGTGACAGCTCCTTCTTTCTCCGAACGTGGTTGATGACCCCTCTGCATATCCCTGAGACACCTGCAGAATATCGTTACAACATGGCGCATTCTGCCACTCACAATGTCATTGAGCGGACGTTCAGAACCATTCGGTCACGTTTCCGCTGCCTGGATGGGTCCAAAGGCACCCTGCAGTATTCTCCAGAGAAATCCAGCCACATCATTCTGGCCTGCTGTGTGCTCCATAACATCTCCCTGGAACACGGGCTGGACGTGTGGTCTTCCCCGGCCACAGGACACATGGAGCAACCGGAAGAAGAGTATGAGCAAATGGAATCAATGGACTCGGAAGCCTGTCGTATTCGTCAGGAGCTTTTACTTACTCATTTTAGCTAATATTGTGACAGAGGGAAGGCTTCTAATGGTTCATCTGGGAAGATATACAGAGGAAATATGACCCTTCCTCCTCTTTAAGTCTGTAAGGACTAAGCAGACGTGAGACGAGGAGAAATTTTACTCTCTTCATTTCAGGCAGTATTCTGAATTTCTCTCGATCTTTCCAGAGATGCAATTTAACCGCTAAATTTTTACTGTTGTGATGCTTATAGACTCCCCTTTCATCTGATTTAGAGAACAATGACTAATGTGAGATCAGTGGAGAGACTTGGGAAATTGTCTTTGATAATTATGAAAAATCTGTAAGCCTCGCACCGTTTTACAAAGCAACAACAATTCTATGCTGCTTTGTAACCCAGAACGTTCATGACTGAATTTTAAACAGTATTTCACACGAAATAAACTTCCATGTGGACTCATGTCTACCCTGAATTCATGAGCAGCAAAGCAAACATTTATCTTTTCGTTTGCAGATACAAATTCTTGCTAAATACCATTTTGCAGTTTTGCACATCATGCAAAACCCAGCGATTCCTCTGGAAGCTGACAGCTGTGTTCTGGGAGGAGTCTGGCTTTTTGCTGGGTACACACTAGTGCTTGCACGTACCTAGAAGGTCAAGAAGGGTTGAACGTTTCTTCTTTCCCAAACAGACTGGGGAAGATGTTGAGCTGTGGTTGGCTCTGTCAGTTACTTAACAGATATTAGGAAATGGGCTAGTGAATGTAAGTCTAGTTCTCGCTAGGTATGTCTGCCACAACAGAAATTGTCAGTAACTACTCATCTTGTTGGCTGCTGTAAAAGAAATGCCAAGGACTGGCTGGTCACAAAAATTGAACTGGTTGCAAAAGTTCTCCGTTTAGATCAGAGCTGAGGTACAGAAAGGCTGCTGTACCACTGCTGGCAATCTACCTATTCAGTGGAAAAAAGATGACTAATGCACGCAGTTGTTGCTGGCACAGGACTGGAAAGTTTCCTGGCAATGTTCTCGTTCTAAAAGGTGCAGGTGTTTCCAAGGATCTCTTAACAGCAGTCTGAGAAAATTTTTGTTTCTTAGATTTTATTGTTTACTGGGCAGTAAGTGAAACACAACTGGTAGGGAATGCAGAACGCTGAAAAAATGTAGCTACTTAAAGTAGCAGTGCAACCATCTGGCACAGCAGGTCTCTCTGTTCTCTTAGAGGAAATGAGCCTGGATCGTGCCCCACGTTTGAAGAATAAGAAAGTATGGGACACGTTCCTAAGTGTAGGATGGAGATGCTGGATTAGGTATAGTTCTGTCAGGTTAGCAATGGCAGCAAGCATTTACTATCTTATAGAAAACCAAGCATGCTTTATGATGTATAAGCAGCATGTTTTCATAAGCCTTGATGAGAACTGTTACATAATATGTACAACAGTCTGAGATGTAATTATATTTTCTTTACACATCTTCCCATGAAGTAAGAACTACTATTGCTCACTGTGGCAAAAACCCTGCTCCTTTTACCTAGGAAGAAGCAGACAAGCATCGTTTTCTAAAAAAAAAAAAGATTTTTAAGGTAAGAATTGCTGCTGTGTATGGTGCCTGATGGCTCAAAATCATATCTGATGGACTATGCTAAAAATACTGATCTTTAGACCTAAACACCAGCAGAGCTGCGTGGGTGACGCTAAGGTCGAAGAAGCAGCAAGCATCGTTTTCTAAAAAAAAAAAAGCATTTTTAAGGTAAGAATTGCTGCTGTGTATGGTGCCTGATGGCTCAAAATCATATCTGATGGACTATGCTAAAAATACTGATCTTTAGACCTAAACACCAGCAGAGCTGCGTGGGTGACGCTAAGGTCAAGTGAGACTTGGACATGTGTAGGTACAAACCCTGTCACGTAATAACGAGCTGGAGTTTCTCAATTTATGCTATGAATAGCTCTTCCCTTGCTGCTGTGTATGGTGCCTGATGGCTCAAAATCATATCTGATGGACTATGCTAAAAATACTGATCTTTAGACCTAAACACCAGCAGAGCTGCGTGGGTGACGCTAAGGTCAAGTGAGACTTGGACATGTGTAGGTACAAACCCTGTCACGTAATAACGAGCTGGAGTTTCTCAATTTATGCTATGAATAGCTCTTCCCAGCGCGTGCTGAGACCAGAGTGAACTCAAAGTGGAGGCTTTTCCCGGAACACATTTGCTGCTGGGTTTTGTCTTCCTTCAGCCACTGTCACCTTTGGTAGAGTTTAATTTCAAAACTGATCTCGCTGCTTATCAGTTTGGGCAAAACCTGCATCAGGCCGCACCAGACAAGACCAATCCACTCAGCAAAACTACTGTTCTTCCTTGAGTCAGGTGTCAGTACCTCTCAGTTCACTTGGGAAATGGAACTTCCTCATCTAGAGGAGAGTTTGCCCCATGTACTCCTAAGCAACTTCTTTCAAAAAGATTCATCTAGACTTTTCTCTTTTCCCTCGGGTTTAGACAATATTTAAATTTGGCAGCCTGAGATTCATGTTTCTTTTTTGCTTTCCTGCTCCTCTGTGCTTTCACCTCATCTTGCCAGCTGCATTCTGGAGTACTTACAAATTTGTGCGTTGTCAGAGCTTTGAAAAGTCAAGTCTACCCTGGCCGTATAATGTCTGATAAACCTCAGTCACGTGTTGGAGGATGGCAGTGAATGACTGTCCAAGGTATTGCAGTTTTCACTACTTGACTAAATTCCTTGTAAAATCCCATCACAAGCCATTTTCAGTTTTCCTTTAAAATACCTCCTCGAAGACCGTCTAGCTGTGCTGCAGGCTGCCTTTGCTCCCTCCGACCTGCGTATTACAGCAAACCTCAAGTCCTGAGCTTCACCTCTCCGGCCTTTTGACTCTTTTTTTTTTTTCCCCCCCTTGCTGACTTGATGG